CCTCCTCAGGGCGGGATGCCAGTCATTAGATAGACCGGATACGATCTTGGTGGGACTCGAGCCTCCAACCTTTGGTGCAAAAGATCAACCCTCTATCACCGGTAGCAACTTTCAATGAGGCGTACGACTAATCGATCAACACTACAGAAGCATTAAGAACATATAGTGAGCTCCGCCGGTTCGTAGAGAAGGTCTAGTACGAATTTCACATCACTCCTGAAGCTCAAATATATCCATCCAGACTCTCGATTCGAAAGAGTTTAGAGTGTACATATTATGCGCTCGTATTCGAAAGCAGTTTATAGTGGTCGTCAGCCTATGCTGTCTGTGCTATCTCGATGCCTAGTGATAACCCATCCCGATCTCCTCTCACAACAGCCGGATCCCCTAGATCTTGACTCAAGATCCTGGCAAACCACACATCTTTACGGTGAAGACTTCACCTGGAGAGCCTACCATCTGACTCTCCTCTGAACATGCGAAGAGTGAAGGGAACTCTCGGAATGGGATAGGAGGTCATATGATCATATGTTTGTTATCCTCAGTTCAGGTCCAGAATTTCCAGAGCTACACTATGGGCAAGATTGCGAAGCGAGCGGAGCTCATGTTGCAGTTCGTGTGCGTGCCTATTCGGAATAAGGTTCTAGTCTCCAGTACCACCGGAGATTATTCCTTCTCTACCAACTCCACCACCATTTCAACACAAATGAACAAGATATGACCGGAAAGTTATAGTGAGAGATTGAAGCAACAAACTCATACCTGGACTCGTTCTCAATTCTCGACCTTCACAGTGTAGCTTCGAGGCCCACTATGGACGATCTCCCGTCTTTGCCACGAGGTCTCGTACAAGGCCTACGAGTGAAGGTTCTAATGAATGTGTGAATATGGCGTCCAACAAAAGATGCGAACTGGAAGAGCAACTATGTAGAAGTAATGGCCCACCAACGGACGCAATAATGAGTTGCTGTAGAATGACTATCTTGATGGACTTTTACGGAGTGTTGATCATTAACTCTGAATAGTCATCTTCGTACATAGTATTATTTATTCTCCTGCAATACACTAGTGTAGTTTCCATTTGCTTTGTAGTTTGACAATTCTACTGAGGATATGGTACTAATGTTGACAGTGTGGGGGGGGGGGTATATGCACATGGTCAACTATATGTCGGTGATGGTATGACAATTCTGAGGGCACTCTTGGTCAAT